ACATTTTTTAAATATAGATAATTGATAACAATTCAGAAACTGAAGCATCAGATTGCAGAAAGCAAATCATTAGATTTTAAAAATGATATAAAAGGCATTTCTTTTCACATAAAAACATAAAACGAACTTAAATTAAATTTTTGGATCGGTTATTTATTTTCAAGAACTTGTACTTGATAATAATTCTTTTACCAGTTAAAAAATATTTGTAGCACTTTCGTTTTCCTTAGATGAGGAAGGAACATTTACTTATTACGGTACATGTTTATTTTTTAACCTTCTTAACTTTTTCAATTTTTCAAATTCAATCATTTTATGATCCTTTTAAAGTTTGTTTCATGTTATACATTTGCTCAAACTGGAACATCATTATTTTAAACCTAGAGGCTATTTTTGGATCGATGAATATTTACGAAAAGTAAACACAAAAATGTCAGAAAAACCAGTTTCTCGGAAATAAAATGTATTAAAGTGTTTCATTACTTCAATTTTTCTTAATATTTCTTTAAAGAAGCCTACTTGCTTTAAAAACGTATAATGCATTACTCTAGATGCCATTTTATGAAATAAATTACTTTTCAATCCCGCCTCTTGTTACAAATAACAGGAATAAAATATATATTTTTGAATACCTATCGTGTATTTTAAGTGTTACTGTAAAATTATCATCGATTTTAAATGTTTGAAGTGGGAGAAACACTGATGATGCCATTTCAAATGTTTGAAGTGGGAGAAACACTGATGATGCCATTTCAAATGTTTGAAGTGGGAGAAACACTGATGATGCCAAAAAATCGTCAACAAAACTATGTAGAATCTAGGAAATTGTTGATGATTATTTATCTACTTCTCAAAGTATTTCAGAAGTATTTGTGTTTGATTAACTAAATTTTTTTATTCCGTATTGATTTAACTCTATATGTCTGAAGTATTAAATAATTTTATAACTTAACTTTTCATGAAAACAATAATTGAACCTATAGAGATATTTTTAAAATTCTTAATATTATGTTGGCTTTTAATGTCATGTTGATTCTTTAACCCTCTGACACCGACCGAGGCGGTCCCGTGCTGCCTAAAAATTTCCCTTTAACAGCGAAGAAGGCCGATCTGAGGCGGTTGGCTTTATTTGATGGGAGGTGAAGTTCTGAGATCGCTTAGGAGCGCGGTAGGGGGTCCAATTATCCTTGAAAACCGCAGCCCATTTCCGTGCGCCTTAAGGGAAGGTTATATCAGTGGTGGTGTGGTAAATGACCACCCAGGTTGAGAGAGTCCAATTCATGTCGCTTTCTCCCAAAAGGACCCGATTTTAAAAGATCTAGAAGAAAAAAGTCGCCTCGAGTTTAAAGAGTTAAACCCCAAGTTTCGCCCCAGATCCGACAAATTGGAAATCACACAAATAAATTTTAAACTAAACTTAAAAAACTAAAATTAACTAAATATTATATATAATTAAACTAAATATTAATATAATATTATATTAAATTGATAAAATAACTAAACTAAAATTAACTAAAACAACAATTTTATTCCTATTTAAAAGATGAACCGGTATACAAAACGAAGAAAGCAATTTGCACCGGAATGTTTTGGAAGATAAATGTGATAATTCAAAAATGCAGCAGTGGCTTCAAATATAGATCTTAATATTATTTACTCATCAATTTACAGTTGCCAAATTTGGAACCCTTAACTTTCAGAATAGTTTTATGATCATGAGTGGAAGCCTTAAATCTTCAGATATGTTGAAGTTTGAACGCTCACTAAGAAAATAAAATCCAATAAATGATATCAAAATATTACGAAATAAAAATGCACGAAACCAAAAAGAGGGATTCCTGCATACTTATTACAAACACAACTTGCATATCAATTGAGATATAATTGATAGAGTAATTTTGCTTCTTCAAAGTGATGCTTTATATGATTACATGAAATATCAGAAAATTCGAACGATATAGAGTACTATATAAATGAAAGAGACAATCTTTTTGAAATAACTACTGTGCTTTTTAAGCAGTTACTTTTATACTTAACCAGAAGGGTGTCAATGCTAAGAAAGTGATGCTATTAACATTACCAAAACAATTTCACTTTCAGAAGTTCAATGGAAAAGAGGACTATTTATAAACTAATTTGTATCCAACAATAATGTTAGTTCCCTCTATATTGAAACAATTTAAATTTAAAAAAGTTTGCTGCGCAAAGTAACAATATCAATATATGGTATTTATCGTTCTTTTGCCTATTCCTGTTTAGAGCACTAAACTTATTTAGCTTTAAAGTTATTAATTGAATGGCCGCTTGAGATTTCCATTCGGGAATAAATCGTTTGACTTCAATAATAAATGTACTAGACTAAGATTCCCTTATACTGTAGTTTACTTTCATTTACTTAATGAAATAATTTAATGTTTCCTATTATTTGATTCGTATATTAGGAAGGTATTAAAAGGTTTCGACAAAAATATCGTGTTTAAATTTTTGGATAATAAATTTTTAAAAAAATAAATGAAAACTTATTAACATGAATTTATTAACCAAAATAAATGAAAAATATTAACATAGAATGCTTTAGGTTTTGTTCATTTTTATTTTTTATTAAAATTGCTCTCAGAACAATTTATTTATATCTTATTATTCACGCATATGCCATTTCCGTCATAAGATCATAATTGAGTCCTTTCTTTCTGCACAACTATCTCATTGCATGACTCTCTCAATTAGTATGTCACATTTTCCATTCCCCTAACAGCGCAACATATATCTCACGGTCAGTGTGATGTATCCACCCTAACCCCATCTGTCTTCTGCTTGTCAATAGGTGCCTGAATATCCAATATGATTCCAGGGAAGGGAAACGAGAGAACTTCCTGCGGATGTGACACCTGTCATCATCTTCACCATCAGGGAGCATTTTCAGCTCCATCCTCTCTGGCGATCTGGAACAGAAGAATCCATTCTGTGAAAAAGAGGTCAGACGGACAAAATGAAAAAAGTGCTGCTGCTTCTTCCTCACCCACCCCAACTCTAACTTGGCTCTTGACCTCCATCTCTGCATACAATGGATGAGTTGCTTTTTTTTCTCTACGTTTGGTGTGAAGAAGAAGAAAAAGGTTTAATAGAGTTTCCTTAGCAGCTGTTTTCAGCAACTGGAGGATATATTCATAAGCATTTATTACGTGATGAAAGAATATTCATTTTTTTAGAGTAAGAAGAAGATTTATTTTTCATATACAATGGTAAGGTACCAGTAATAGAGTGTCCTTTTCTTATTTGAAAAGAATACATTAATTGTGTTATTCTGGATTTGACGTTTGGAATTTTTAAAGGTACGGATTCTAAAAATTCTGATATCTGTAGAAATAAATGCAAAGAAATAGCTTAGGGAATTATATGATGAATGTGCTTGATTTGTGAGGTTCATGAGTTCAATTAATTAATAATTTGGCTTTCTTTTAATTCTAGAATTCATTTAACCATACTGATGTTTCTGTCTTTTCCATAAAACAATAAGGATTAAGATATTCTCCTTTCTTTTTTGTGGAACTTCACTTGCAAAAATATTAAATAGCAGGGAGTATATGAAATTCTAAAAGCAAGTTAAATAAGAACAATTTAGTTAAATAATTTGAATAGCCTAATAAACTATTACAAAACAGAAAGTTGTCCCTCATTCCACATAAAGCAAAGTATATATCTTAAGAGGTCTTACGATTGCCCTCTATATAAGTATTTTATAGTTAAAATGCTATTTTCTTAAAATCTGCTTGTCATTATAAGACTTGTTATTTAGAAGTGTGCCACTCTTTTTTATCTTGTGTATTTAGAAATTATATGCGTGTTTACATATATTATATGTGATTAAAGATTTTAATCACTAACATAATACCAGGAAGAGCGTGTTAATGAGAATTTAGAAACATAAATTAAGTTAATAAAGATGAAAGATGTATAGAAGATTTTTTATATATATAGAGAAAAGATGTGTCATGTGTAAAAAGAACAAGAGATAGTGTAGCCAAGGCAAATATATAGCATTCCGACTGTTAAAGAACGTCGTTTATTTAATTTCGATTGTACATTGTAAATCATACATTTCCGTAACAAAGTCTTGCAAATAAAATGCAGCTACATTCCTTCCAAACTAGCTTCGAAACTCATATAGATAGTGGTTAGTATTAAAATTACAATGCATTTTGTAAGCCGTTAAAGTAGTTAGAATTGCTTGGTAGCCTTCATCATACCCTCAATTGACGGTATAATATAAAAATTTACGAATGAAGCATTCATTTAACTTACATCTATAAACTAACGATATATTCAAGTGAGAAATAAACAGCAGTAAATGGCCATGGCGTCAAATAAAAATCACAATTAGGCTGCACTACCTATGCAAAAGCTTTTCTTCTTGCCAATTTACATGGCAAATATACCTTACTGACGAAGGATAAGGCAGGACTAAGGCAATTTATATCACTATAATGAATATGGTTTTTTTAAAATGTGGGCAATGATTGCTCTCTTTTTATATGGAGCTTGGATTTATTTCCGTATACTTTAATGCCCATTATAGAAAGAAAATTATTGTCTTTTTTCTTCATTTTCAGAGTCAAAGGACTGATACTTTTCCCTGAAATATTAACTAATTTCATAATAATATTAATCAGCTGCACGAAGAAAATTTCCTTTTCTTCTAGAATATCACCCGTTAATTATTCAAATTATTGAAGCGAATCTTCTTAACGCAGTCTTCTAGATGGGGAATCAGCATAGAAAAAGCGATCGTCACGAACGGAAGTATGTCTTACCAGAGGAGGCGGGTCGATGCGGCCACGTCACGAGATGGAAGGGCGTCATACCCGCGCAGGCGCATCGATGTATAGTATATATGTAGCGTATACCTATAATCTCGTCGGCTATGTGTATAAGCATGTAGATACGGATTGCACGTACGCTCTCTGTTTTTGTAAATAAAAGGCGGAGAAAATATTCAGAACTGCTTCGGCCGGGAGTCGAACCTGTCAGCTGCTTTGAAGACAGCTATGCTAACTATTATACCACCGACGCTTCGCAACGTTTACTGTTTTCTTTCTATAAATAGAAAAAAAAATGGGGAGGGAAGTGAAAGAAAGAGAGACAGAGAGAGTGATTCTACCGTTATACATTTAGTTATATAGAAAAGTGTAAGAAGCTGTCGTGTGTCCACTCACAAACACACCCACTTTTTTTGTTCTTTGGATACAAAATGTAGAATATACTGAAGTATCTTCACTATTCTTCTATGGGTGATATGAAAATGATCATTGAGATTAGACCAAAACGAAACTGAGTTCCGAAATATAAACAAGTATTCTGCATCAATATATTTTCATCACATTTAAAGCGAGATAATGTTTCTAATCTCATTCAGTCGTTTGCTCAGTCTGTTGAATTTTATAACTTCTGGAGCTGCGTGTGTGTTCACTGCAGTTTTCTGTGAACACTGATGTACAAGCTTTGATTGAATGTTCCTGCTTTACCCCAGCAATGTTTTGAATAAAATATTTTTCCTGTTGTCTTCAGCAGTTTTCAGATAATTTAATTTTAAGAACTAATATAATTTACCATGCAACGAAATCAGGTAATCTGAAATAAGATGAAATATACTTATATATTTTTATCCATATAAATGAGAGGGAAATAAATTTTAAGAATTTACACTGAAAATTCGTAAATTCATATTGTATCTTCTCAATGTCTCAAATATTAAGTTTAAACAACATGTTTTATAAAATCTATGTAGCAGTTCTGAATTAAACATTACGGAATTCTTATTGTTATGTATAAAATCATTCCAGATATTAATTTATATCCAGGTTTAAAGAAAGAAATCCAGGAATCCATGTTAATGATGTACAATATGATAATTAAATTTACATAGAAAATTACGCGCCTCTAACACCGCTGGTGTTATCGAATTTCTCTTTAATAAAATCTTATGTGCATCCTGAAATTTTGACTGTAACATGTTATCGAATACTTTCATTCATGAAAGCTCAGAAATAAAATATAAAACACATATAAAAATAATTGAGATGATCAAATTCTGAAAGTTACCCATTAACGAATTTTCGGAAAAAGGATAAAACATTACAGAATTTTAATAAAATGTAGAATTGAAAAGCACCAAAACAATTTTTAATCAGCAACATTTTTCCTTTTTCCTTTAAGAAAAATATTTCATAAATGCTGCAAAACCACATGAACAGAATACTCTACAAAAAATATTTGTTTAGAGTAACGCGTTGCTTATAAGTAGCTTTATTTTACATTATTATTAACATTTCTAAATCTCTCTTTTCAATCAAGCCTGCTTTTAAAGTTATCAAAAAAAGAATCATTACTAATAAAAATTACAAGAAAAATGCACGTTTTAGATATTTATATTGTTGGACATACTTTTTGTTGCAAGTTGATACACAATGCATTACAAATTATAGCATTAACATGTTTTTCATCCTGTTATTATACATGTTTTATACACTAAGTAAACATTATATCGCTTTTATGTTAAGAACAAAAATTTAGAGGCAATTTATGTTTATTTTCTCTAACAGCTATTGAACTAGATGATAATGTAGATTTTTTAACGTGAAAGAGGCATAAGAAATTAATTTATCCCTAGGTTCGCTAATGAATCTCGTCTATCGAAAATTATATCTAAGTTAATTTAATATTTTTATAAGGCTTTAAAGCATTTTTTAAAAAAAATAATCTAATATGCGAAATGCATATAATGAAAATGTGCATGTTTTTTTTTATTTTGAAATTAATTTTACTCTTTTTAAAACTTTGTTGAATTTTTATAAGAGCACTAGAAATAAACACTAATATTTTGTACATATGAAAAGGAAAGAGGGAAAAATTGCATATTCATTAAGAAATTTTTGCAAGTCAGGATTTGGCTCATCAAACTAGTATAAAAATATTAACATAAGTCACACAAATTAGGCTGACTCAGATGCTGCATAAACTGATTCCTGTTAACGGATTTCAAATTTTAATAAAAAGGAATGCTAAATTGGGACCTATATTATAGTATTTGATTTCAAATGAACCTTTTTCCCACTTTCAAAAATGCATTACCATATTATGCATTCATGAAACAAAAAGATGTAAGAATTTGAATATATTTGAAATGCCTCATAAAAATAGTTTGAATGTTAACAAAAGACCCTGTTGACATTTTTATTTAATTTTTACCGCAAAGTTTTTATATTGTCTAATAATATTTGCGATGCCTTTAATAATTTTTAAGAAGGGAAGAAGGAAAAAGTAACAAAGCAATGTGATCGAAAGGGGCGACAGAACTTTGCATGATCAATATAAAAGAAGGAAAGGTGATTTGTATGGACGTTCTTGTTGCATTGGCAAACACTTGTAAAAAAATAATTAAGATTCCCCTTAAATTTACTACAAGGATTAAAGAAACTGGTGATGAAAAACTGATAATAGAAAAAGGCATAAAATCTCGCTTATATCCTGCTTTATTTAACATTTCTTAAAGTCATAGAGAGAAACATAAAAGACAACTGCTAGTAAAAATAATTATGGCAATCCATTTCGAAATGTCTTCATTATGAACACATCTGTATTACATTAGTGGAGCATCAAATACACCAGTTTTCAGCAACAGAGAAGACCCCCAGAGAGCGTTATTACCACTCAGTCGGGGTTCCTCTTTGGTTCGACAAACAACCTGCCAGCATGAGACAGAGCAAGCAATAACGAAAATGGTGCTATTTTATCCCTCAAGGAGTGGCCATTGTTTCTTTCCGAGAGGACACGGTGAGGCATCAGCCGGTTGAAACAATTGAATCGGATTTAAAACGAATGAGATCCGGTGAGCAACGCCTGAGAGAACACAAGAGATTTTATTTGTGTCACTGAGTGATTAAAATGGATTTAGGAGTGCCCTTGAAACAAACCCAAGGAACGAGAGGGAAGTGTGAGGGTGGCCCAGTGCAGCAGGGAATTTTATGGTCTGTGCGGAAGAGAGTCTTAAAAGGGGTCGAGGATGAGAGGGTGTACATTCTTGGAGCAGGACTAATCGAACGGCGCCGATCCCACCGAAAGTGAGAAAGGATTAAGTAGCTGGACGCGGAAGAATCGTAATGTTCGCGTTAAAGTGCTTTTAGAGAGTATCAAACTTGTTTTTACGACCATGCATCAAAAAACGAGAACGACTCGTTTCCGAGTTTTTATTCGCCAGTTTTAAAAGAAGGAAAAAGCGGTACATAGATTTCTCGCGGGTAAAGGTAGTGGTTTTTTTACTAAATAATGCAAGTGGAATTACAAAAAAAACTCCGTAAAACTTTTTATAGGACAAATTGCTTTTGCAATTGAAAAATATGTATTCTTATTTAAAATAAGAGTCAGATACCTGCACAACAAGATTTACACGTAAATCAACTATTTAGAATGGAATATTTTTCATTTCATAAGCTCTATTCTGATTTAGTAATTGTTTTAAGATAAGATATTCTGCTAGCAGAACTTTTTAAAATAAAAGTAAAGAAACTACCACCTAAGACGAATAGTTTAATAAAGCGATAACAGCAATAAAGTGAAATTTTCGAAGTGCAACTTTTCCTTATAAATGACACAGAAGTTCTACCAATCGTATATTTTTCCTTTGCTTAGGAGATGGTACATCTGCTGTGCCATTAAGTTTCATTTGCTCTTCCGGAAAATTAATTTGGTTTTTTCCTAATATTCATCGAGTCAGTTTTCCTCCTCTGTATTATATGACCTCAGGAGTAATGACTAGATTTACTGTAAATAACTGAATACAAGTTAAGTAACGTCTAATATAATAATAACCCAAATGTGTCTTTTTATAACTTCAAAAGAAGGCAACTTCCTTCGTTGGTTTCTTACAATTTTCTTTAAGTATAACAGTTTAGCATTTCACCAACCTTAATGAAGTTCTTACCTTACCGAAAAGCCCGATTTCCGTTTTCAGTCTCAGAATTTTTCTTCACTTACTTTTCAATTTTACTTTTTTGACTCTAAAGTATTTTCTCATTGATTTATTTGGAATGATTTCCTAGTTATAAAATATCATTTGAGGTTTTCTATTTTGTTACTTAGAGATCATAGAGGTTTGTTTTTTTTTGTAACGAATTTCCGTCATTATGTTTCAGAAAATTCTTATTCTCAATAAATATAAAGAAAATCTGCTAAATAAATGAAATTCGAGAAAATCACTCATCTAAATACATTTCGAAAATAAATCAACCCTTCCACTACCAGCCAAAGAATTTTACTTCAAATATATGCTTCGTTAATTGATTTTTAAAATAGTTTTTTGATAATAAAATTGATTGATTTTTTAAAGAGAAGTTTCCGTGTTATATTTCTGAAAATCCCGATTCTGAATAAATATAAAGTAAATCTGTTAAATAAGCGAAATACGGATAAATATCTCTCATCAAAAATAGCGCATTCCTTCGGCTTTCAACCTAAGAAGTTAGCAGTTTAATTTTTAAGAAAAATTGTGTTATGAAGAGTTTGACTCATTAATTTTTAGAATGATTTTCTGATTATAAATTAATATTTTCAGATTTCCAGCATACTATTCAGAGAACGAAGAATTTTTTGAAAAAGAAATTCTCGAATTAAATTTCCAAACATGTATGCATGAGTGTGTTGTTCTGAATCATTAAAATAGATGCGTGAACACACATTCACTTCAAATCTATCTTTATTTTTCCATCTTATTTTTAAGCTTTAAAAATATTAATAAAATAATATTTTATTAAATATAGAAAATATGTAATTTATTACTTTTAAATTTTTTCATTCCGTCAAAAAAATCTAGATAGAGATGAGATAATAAGTTTTCAAATCTTTATTTAATACTGAAATAAAAAAAAACTATTAAATACACGAGAACCTGGAAAATCACTTATCGAAAAACATTTCGAAAAAAAATTAAGGTATTTTTAACATTTTTTTTTTTGGAATTGTCGTTTAAGTCTATATCCTGAGAAATATTTTAGAAATTTTATGAAGTAATTATATAT